CCTTGTTCAGTTGTACAGAACAGACACCTCAGGCTTCCACAATGATGAGGCCTCGCTGTACAAGGGCTGAGACCACCTGATCCCAGCTTTTCTGTGTGTGTGTGTGTCTGTCCTTTATTCATTCCTCAATCGTGTCAGTCCCCAGACCTGTGCAGGGTGGGGCAGAACCATTCAACACTTTCAACAAAATTTTAAGATTAAGTAATCAACACCCAAAAGTCGGTGTATTCCCATATGATCTGAAAGGAAATGGAGAAAACTTATTTTACTTATTTTGTAATAAGTTTTTACTTATTACAACATTTAAAATGGCAACCTACTTAGGAGCAAAATTATCCTAGAAGGTAAAAGACATCCACACTATGAAACCATACAATTTTGCTAAAAGAAAAAATTAAGATATAAATAAATTTTAATTAGAATATAAATAAAATATAAATAAATATAAATCCAAGCTTGTGGATTAGAGAGTCAGTGGCCATATTACTTAAAACACTCTACAGATTCAGTGCAATCCTTACAAAACTTCAAAGGCAGTTGTGCTGAGCAGTTTTTGTCAATTTAACCCACACTAGTCACCTGGGAAGAGGGACCCTCAAGTGAGGAGTTGTCTTCATCAGACAGGCCAGTGGGCATGTCTACATTTGAGGCATTTTGATTCTTTGTTTCTTTTCTTTCTTTTTTGTTTGTTTTTGAGACAGTGTTTCTTTGTGTAGCCCTGGCTGTCCTGGAATTCACTCTGTAGCCCAGGCTGGCCTTGAACTCACAGAGACCCCCCTGCCTCTGCCTGGGATTAAAGGCATGTGACACCTCTGCTTGCATGTATGTTTTTGATTAATGATTGACGTGGGAGGGCCCAGGGAGGGCCCAGCCCACCCCCGGCAGTGCCAGCCTTGGCCCTAGGCTGTATAAGGAAGCAGGCTGAGCAAGCCAGTAAGCAGCACTCCTCCACGGCCTCTGCTTCAGCTCCTGCCTCCAGGTGCCTGCCTTAAACTCCTGCCCCGGCTTCCTTTGATAAAGGCCTGTGACTGGAAGTCAAATAAACCCTTTCTCTGCCAGGCTGCCTATGGCATTTACCACAGCACAGAAAGGCAAGTGGGGACACAGACTTAAAAATATAAAAAGTGCATCCTAATGCTCATCTTAGACCCCCGAATCCCAAACCCCATCACCGACACCTCTTGGAACAAACCAAAGATGGGGGCGAGGGAGGGAATAGAGACTCACACTTCCCGAGGATGGACCTACAGTAATGAAGACATCACAGTGCTGGCAACCAAGATAGTTTCAGGGACCAGTGGTTCAGAAGAGTGAATCCAGAAACAAACCCCCGCATATACAGGCAATTAAGATGTCAAGACTACACAGCAGATAAAAGACAGTCTCTTTAACAAATGAATGCTGGGACATTGGAAATACACACGCAAAAGAATGAGGGCAGGCCTTTGCCTTACCTGATGTCTAAAAATTAACTGAGAAATGACTAATGACCTAGACACCCCTAAAAGTTGATACAGGGGAGAAGGTGTAGAACGCAGGACTCTGCTGTTGGTTTCTTGAACAGACAGCAAAAGCAAATACAGTCTGACCGCAATCTGCATGTCCTTAAAGGCTCTTGATGTCAAAGCAAATGGTCAACAGAAGGGAAGAGTGATCTAGGGAATGGCAGAGCACACCTGCACTCCAGACACCTAGTGAGCAGTGACTATTCAGTACATAAGGAGGCTCCCCAGTCTCATGACAACCACAACATAATCCAATTAAAATGCAGGTAGGTGGGTTTACACACCTGTCAACCCAACGCTATGGGAACTGAGGCAGGAGAGCCACAAGTATCAGGACGGCCTGGCCTATAGAGCAAGATGTTGTCTCAAGAAGCATAAATATGAAAAAAATTAACACACATGTCAAGAATACATGTTGGATGGGCTTCTTTGAAGATGTACAAATGGTCTACAGCCATATGAGAAAATGGGGTACATCACTAATCGTAAGAGATACAGGCCCAGCAAGATGGCACAGTGTGGGGAGGTTCCTGCCTCCAAGCCTGATGGCCAGACTTCCATCCTAGGGACCCGCATGGTGGAGGGAAAAACCAACTCCTCCAAGTTTTCCTTTGACAGACACCAACAGGCCATGACATGATACACACACTCAGGCACACTCACACAAATAAATTAAAAAACAAATAAAAGTGTAGTAAAAACATTGTAGTTACCCACACCTTTAATCCCAGAGCTGGACCTATGCTGACAAACTACACAGCCAAAAGGTAAGGGGGCAAATTTAACATTAGGTGTTTGTCTGGTTTTTTGTTTGTTTGTTTCTTTACAATAAAAGGTAACAGACAAAGCCCTGAAACTTAACAGAACAAAGTCAATTTTGTTGGTCTAACATCTTGAGAGTCAAAGAGTGGCATCCTGCCGATGTTAGTTAGAACTCAAAGATCATTTTGTGTTGGGATATATATATATATATATATATATATATATATATATATAAAACAAAAAAAAACGAAAAACAAAAAGGATGATTCAAGTGAGAGTTGAAAGATATAGAGTGGCTAAGTATAGCACTTTAAAGTTTTAAAAAGTACTGTAAAATCAATTTTCTTGAAAATCACAAGAAGATAAAAAAAAATGTACAAAACTCCACAGGCTGAAATTTGAGGAGAATCTGCTTGGTGAAGGGCGTGATGGTCTGATCAGCTCTGTACACATTTCAAAGGTCAGAACTGACACAGCCGCTTTAGGCCTGACAGAAACGATGTGAAATCAGTTGCGCCTCGTGGCCTTCGACCTCCTTTCAACTCCTCCCCATCTGACTATGACCCACTTCTTCCTCACCTCACCGACCCCAAACCTCGGCACACACCCCAGCTGCCAACACCAGCGACTTCCGGAAGTTGCTCATGTGGTACTTATTTTCTCTACAGTTAACACCTATCAACACTCGGGACAGCCAGATGACACCATTGGCCCTAACAAAAGCAGGGCCCCCCAAAGGCCAAGCTCTCTCCCCAGGTCCCACAGGCACCTCCCACGGACCTGTCAGTGGTCGTGATGGTCAGTTTTAATTATCAACTCGACACAATCAAAATCAAAGTGAAGAAGAGAGTCTGGGAGTTGCCTGTGCTGTGCGGGCCTGAGGGGGATTTTCTGTAACAGGCTGAAAGAGCAGCTTCACCATATCATGGGCCCTGGCAGGCGTGCTTGCAGTCATTCTCCCTCTGCTCTTGACTGTGGCTGTGACTGGCTGATTTGCGTTCTGCCCTGACTTTCCAAGGCCTGCAACCTGGAAGTGTGTTCTTAAGTGGCTCTCCCTGGAGCCATTTCATCCAGCAACGGAAAACCAAGCTGGGGTGGCGAGAAAATGTGTCATGTGTCTTGTTGGGTCCCCTCTGTGTCTCACCTGAGGGACGGGGGACGGTCAGGGCTGTCTTAGAGAGCAGTTACCTCGGATGGAGTAAAGTAGATACAGGCCAGCCACAGGGGCGCCCCCATATGCTGGCATGTTTCCGGGGGTGGGGGGGTGGGGTGGAGGGGGCGGAAGACATCACCTGCCACACAGGCGCCCCGCCTCTGCCGAGACAGCGTCCCCTCATGAGGGCATGCCTCGGACCCAGGCCGAATGGCTGGGGTTCACGACCACATTTTTGGGAGGGACCTCAAGAGTAAACTAGAGGACACAAGTGAAGGTGATGGCTAGAGTCCCAGCCTGAGGCACAGAGGCAGCAGACACAGCAGACACAGCCACAGGGTCCTCTAAGCATTGCAGCATCTGTCCCCAAAGCCTCCCTGTCCCCAAGGCCGCTAGTGTTTCAGTGAGCACCAGAGGTTCTGCTGCTGTGTTCTTTATGTGGGGGGTGTGCAAGTGTGGTGTGGGGGTGTGGGGGTGTCTGTGTCTGTGTGTGTGTGCTTGGGGTGTGTGTGTTGAATGTGTGTGTTGTGGTTTGTGTTTGTTGTGGTGTTTGTGTGTGTATGGGTGTGTGTGCTTGGGGGCATATAGGGTGTGTGGGGTGTCGTGTGTATATGAGGTGTGTGTATGTGCAATTCGGGTGTGTGTATAATGTATATGTGTGTGGTAAGGTGTGTTTGTGTGTGTGTGTAGTGCGTGTGTGTTTGATGTATTTGAGTGTATGGTG